CTCGGCTAAGGGCTGCCCGGCCCCGTAGATGCGCCCGTAATTGAAGATTTTGGCGTGCTCCCGGCTGATGCCCACCGTGGCGGCCGTCTTGCTGTGCAGGTCTGTCGCGTTGCTCTTCTTCCCCTGCAGAGTCATCCAGCCGAATGCCGTGCAGCCTGCCGAGAGGGGAGCAGGGGTTGGGGACCAGGCTCGGGGGGGTCACCCCACTACCCAGCGAGTCCATTCCCCGCAGCGCAGCCCCGGCTCACCGTGCATGCCGGTGAAGTGCGCCTCGCCGAGGACGGCAGCTATCCAGAGCTCCTGGGAATCCACGTCCGCGCCCACCAGGGAGTAGCCAGGCGGCACCTGGACCATGGCTTTCAGCTCGCTGCCCACCCGGTCGGCCTGTGGGACACGATGCTCAGCTCAGCGCAAGCCCTGCGCTTCCCCCTCCTCCTCGGTGGCACGGGAGCAGCCTGCCGCCCACAGCCCTGGGGTGCTGGCACCGCACTCCCCATGCCCTAAACTCTGCTCTGAAAGTCAAAACAGGGTTTAACACAACACACAGGCGGGGCATCGCTCACTTGGTTAATCCCCCCAAGCTCCTCCAGCGTGGAAGGGAAGCTTGGGAAAGGACAGAAACTGCTGCTTCAGTGTTTTCTTCTCCTTTCACCGAAGTTTGAAGCTCAGGAGCCTCTGCTGACTCCTTCCCCTCTCCCAAAGCCAAAGCACACCAGCAAGAGAAGGGCCCCAGCATCAGCCCCGCCACCTCAAACCCCAGCATCCAGCCCCAACTCCTACTTCTAAACCAGGCTGCTCCCACCAGTCCAAAATACAGAGAGGGTGCCCCAAAACATCCCCGCAAAGGACATGAGTGCAGCCATACCCGGGCATTGCTGGCTGTCAGCCATGTGGGCTCCACTGCCCGGCGGGTGATGGTGCCCGCGGTCACCACCTGCGGCAGGATGGCTCCATAATCGTCCTCCTCATTATAGTCAGGGTGCCTGGGACAGAGGTGAGGGTGAGCACCATCCTGCGAGAGCCCTCCCAGAGGGGCATAGAAGGAATCATGGTCCCAGCTGGGGCTGTTCCTCCCCGTACCTGGTCACCACGCGAGGCAGCTCCCCTTTCTTCAGCCACACCACCATCTGGGAACTGGGGGGACATGCAGAAGGCAAAATGCTGAGCCCACCATGTCCGCACAACCCTCCCCCGGCCACAACGCAGCCTCCACCCGCAAAGATGTCACGATTCAGCTGAAGGCAGCTGCTCACCTGATCCGCTTGTGAGCGTTCCTCCAAAACGAGATCATTTTGTTAATCTCAAGGGCTCTGGTCCCGTGGGTGCGGCCCACGGCAGCCCGCAGAGTGCCATCCTCCATCTGGGGCAGGAAATCCTTGGCAAAAGGGCTTCCCACGTTGTTATCGTTCCCGTCCTTTAGCAGCAAAAGAGGTGCCAGGGCTCAGCACATCACCGCTCGACATCAGTAAAGCTCTGTGCACCCTCCTGCCCCAGCTAGAGATACCTTTCCACCACCCTATGCCACGGAACAAGATCGCAGGGTCCCAGGAGTGCTGCAGCACCAGGGAGTCAGGCAAGGCGACACGGGAGCTGGGATGCGGGGTGGCTGGGAAGCCCCCAGGAAGAGCCCCAGGAGCACCCAACTTGCCTTGTGAGGCAGCTTGAAGAACCAGCACCCAGGGATGTTGACATCATTGTAGGGACCATTGCCGTGATGGTACGAGGGCTGGCTCCTCAACTCCGCCAGCTCACACAGCTCATCCATCTCCTCCTGCAACCAGCAACGCAAGGTGATGCCGGGAACGGTAGAAAAGGGAAATCAAGGAAACGGGGACCAATCTGCCACCCCATCCCACAGGAAAGCCCCTGTACCTCCGCCAGGCTTTGGTGTGCTCTGCCCATTTTCTCTTCCACATCCACCTCTAGCTGGCTCAGCTCCTCCATCTGTGGCAGAGAGGGACCGTAGGGGGAACAGGGTCAAACACCATTTCTCCAGTGATTTAACACTTATTAAAAGAAATTTCTCACTTCAAGCTCCCAGAGCCAAGCACGGAGCTGGTTTTTGCATGCACGTGGGAGTAAGCCCAGCCCCACATCTCCCTCCTGCCAAGGGACCCTCCATCCCTTCCTTCACCTTTTGCCACATCGTGCTGCCATCCATCTCCAGCAGCTCATCCTCCACAGCAGCCTCCAGCCCCGGGGGCTGCTCCTTGCCCTTCTCCAGGCAGTGCTGCCTGTACAGGTACTCAATCACCCTGACACGAGAGAGGGCAGGGCTCACGCACCATGAAGGGACCGGGGGTCTGGGGCAGCACCTGGACAGGGTCCCAGGGAGCTCCCGAACCCCCCATGGGGCAGCCCCCGGCTCAGCACCCCGCTACATCCCCCTCACCTGTGCGGGCAGGGAGGGCCCTCTGCCTCCGAGTGGGCTGCCGGCAAATTGTCCTGCCGCCCAGGTACCAGGTAGCCCCAGCCATGCTTAGGGAAGCCGTCCCAGGCCAGGCGCATCAGCTTCGGGGTCACCCTCATCTGCAGGCTGATCAGGCTGGGTCCCGGCACCCACCCCGCCTCCTCCAGGCGTGGGCACAGCTTGCGGTACCAGCTGGGGAGCAGCAGGGGTGGGTCAGAGAGCGCAGGGCAACCGCTGGGGACACCCAGGGTCCCCAACTCACCCCGGGTGGCCCGGCAGGTGCTGCAGTCTCTTGGGTTGCAGCGTGACCGTCTCCTTCAGACGCTCCAGGCAGACCCGGCT